TTGTTTCAAGAGACACTGCAAGTTAATGAATGAGCGTTGATCATTCCATTACAGATCACAAGATTCTATTAGCGGAGACTATAATATTGAACTCTCGCTTAAAAGATTCTCGTGCTTTGTAAATGGATTCCCTCCTGACATTCGATGCAAGCTGGATTCCTGGTTTGCAAATTAATACCGATCAATTACTTCCACCTGCTTAAAATAAAAATAAATGTGATAAAATATTAGTAGGCAACTTGACATTAAGATCTCGTTCGTACAGCAATCTTACCAGTATAAATGTCGTTATCACAATTCAATCTTCCTCTAGATTAAATGAACAGTAAGAAAACACAATATTTAAGAAGATTATACTGTAATTGCACAATAGTTTTTCGTGTGTGTGAAGCTACTATATTATTTCGTGGAAGATCATAAATAATTAAGAGTTCTGGCTTTATTTTCAATAGTTCTAGAGTTCTTGATAGTTTATACAAACAGTTCTGGCGATTAAACCAAAGAAAATGCCTCAGGACAAATTGATATGCCAACTTCACGCAGCATATCACTTTGTCCTACGACATTTTCCTTATCAATAACTGTTCAAATTTAAAAGATTTATAGTTCTACATGAGTTCTAAGAAGAGTTCTGCCTTCTAAAAGTAAAAAATCATCATTAAAATGAAATAAAACCATTTTTTACCCGAAAACTCGTATTTTCGAGACTAGAGGTGATATGCTGGCCGTATTTCGAGAGTTCTAATTATTATAAAATAGTTCTCGTGTAGTTCTGGGCATGTACATTGCTTTTCCAAAGAGTTCTGATGAAGGAAATAATTAGAAAATTTTTAAATTTTTTAGATACGGCCAGCATATCACCCCTATACTCGAAAATACGAGTTTTTCGGGTAAAATAATTGTTTAAAAAATGTTCTAATTATTTCCTTCATCAGAACTCTTTAAAAAAGCAATGTACATGCCCAATACTACACGAGAACTATTTTATAATAATCAAAACTCTCGAAATACGGCCAGCATATCACCTCTAAGAGTTCTGATTATTATAAAATAGTTCTCGTGTAGTTTTGGGCATGTACATTGCTTTTCCAAAGAATTCTGATGAAGGAAATAATTAGAAAATTTTTTAAACGATTATTTTACCCAAAAAATTCGTATTTTTGAGTCTAGAGGTGATATGCTGGCCGTATTTCGAGAGTTCTCTTTCTTTCGCAAACAAACGCCGTTCAACATCTCTCGGTTTCAACTCGTACGGCACCCAATTTCCTTGCTTCTGAATCATTCCCATGTCTTTGAGGCGTTTTGAAATTGCTTGTTGAGTCACTCCCAATGATCGTGCCAATTCTTCTTGACTTTGACTCGAGTCTCCATTAAGTAATGCCTCTAATTTTGCATCTTCGAAAACCTTCTCTCTTCCACCGCTATGCCGGTCTTCGACGTGAAAGTCACCGTTCTTGAAGCGTTGAAACCACTCACGACACATTCTTTCACTAATAGCGGCCTCACCATAAGTATTTGAGAGCATTCGATGAGCCTCAGCCGCAGATTTCTTCATATTGAAGCAGAAAATTAAAACCCCCCGCAAATGACGAGAATTTGGCTCGTAAACTGACATTTTCAATCGAGAATAACTTTATGATGCAGACACAAATCGACTAATGTTTCTATGGGGTTATGTTGACAGATGCCCAAGTTTATTGCATGACGTCTATGATCTATTTATTTCGACCACTATTTACCGCTAAAGCCATCTATAGGAAAACGGCGAAAGCAAAGTTGTACACCTAATAATCAAATGATTAGTTATACGTAACTATAAATATTTAGATGTTCATTAATGTTAAGATTTTATTCAGTTTGTTTATATATTCTTTTTTAAAGTTTTAATTAACAAGTAAACAAAAATGTATTATTGCCCTTTTTGTGTTGAAACTGTAGCTACTTTAAAGCTTTTGAAAATACATTGCAAATTAAAGCATTATACAAAAAGTGTATCGACATTTACATGCCGCCAAGGGCCATGTTTTCGTACATTTAGCGACATATATTCATTCTTTAAACACTTATCGCGGAAACATATCGAAAAAAGCTATGCAGAGATCAAATACGAGAAATCTGATATGTCTAAGGACATGTTGCAGTGTAGCGTTGAATCACCGTCATCTGCTGCATCTATCGCTATATTAGAAAATGAAAATAGTGAGATAAGAGTAGAGAATAATGATCGGGATTTTTCCTATTTTTCAGTCGATCAATTTGCAGACAGTGTAGCTAAAACTTCCGCTTCTTTCGTAGCCAACTTGTATGCGAATCCGTCTTTAACACCTTCGTTTGCCCAAGAGAACATTCGATCCGTTGAGCAGCTTTTTAAGTGTGTAAATCATCTTCGAGCGAAGTATCAAGCTACTTCGCTGCATGTAGACCCTGATTTAGTAGCAATGTTCGAAATTGTTGAAAACGCTTTCAAAGATTATTCATCTGAATATCGTACAATGCAAAATTTTAAAAATATCAATTGCTTAATAGAACCAGAAGAAGTACCCATTAACATGACGTTTAACCCTAAAATGATAAATCATAGCCGACAAATGCATGCAACGCATCGAAAATTTTGTATTATATCTCTGAAAAAGATTTTCAAAAATATTCTAGAACTACCGGGAGTATATAGGCTTTTTCTTTCCCACATTCAAAAATCAAAAGAAAGTAATTCAGTCACAAATTATTTACAGGGCGAACTGTGGCGTTCAAGCGAGCGAAAGTACGATAATGTTGTATTATCTTTAATTCTATATTTTGATGATTTGGAAATTAATAATCCTCTCGGGACTCATCGGGGTATACACAAACTTGGCGTAGTGTATTGTACTATTGGTTGTATTCCTGAAGAATACTCTAGTCAGCTAGAAAACATATTTCTAGTACAGTTACACAATTCTGACGATCACAAAGAATGCGGAAACAATTTGATTTTTTCGAATATTGTCGAACAGATCAAAGAACTTGAAACGGATGGAATAATTATTTCAACTGAAAATTCTACTGAAAAAGTTAACTTCGCTTTGTTGCATATTTTCGGAGACAACTTAGGTCTCAATACTATTTTAGGATTCACTACGAGTTTCAACTCTGATTATTCATGCCGGATCTGTCTATCAGATAAAACAACTTCACAATCTCAAGTTGCTGAAGACTTTAAGCTCATACGTACGATTGAAAGTTACATGATAGATGTGACAAACCGCAATAAAGGCATTTGCGAAGAATGTGTTTTCAATTCGACTCTGAACTTTCATGTTCTTAATAATATCAGTTTTGATCCAATGCACGACATCTTCGAAGGAGTATGTCGTTATGAGTTAGGAAAAATGTTGCAAATATTTATCATCGATCAAAAATTATTTTCATTAGAAACGTTAAATCATCGAATTCGGTATTCTAATTACGGATCGCAGGATTCGAAAAACATTCCGACTCTTATAACTACGCGAATGCTCTCAAGAAAGGATTCATTATATACTCAGCAGCGGAAATGGCATGCTTTTTGTATTATTTCGGATTATTAATTGGCGATTTGATCTCAGAAAACAATCAGGTTTGGAAAATTTATATATTTCTTCGTAAAATGGTATCAATCATCTTATGTCGGGAAATAACGAATAAAAACATCGATTTGTTGTCAAAGCTGACGATTCAACATCACAAATTATACCGCAAAGTTTTCAATGAAAATCTCAAATATAAGCATCATGTTTTACTACATTATCCGCGTGCTATGCGGCTAACGGGGCCTATTCGAAACATGTCGTGCATTCGGTTCGAGGCAAAACATAAAGAATTAAAAGCTACTGCCAAAGTTGTTACATCGCGGAAGAACCCTTCTTATACTTTAGCTCTCAAGCAACAGCTGCTGTTAAACTATCGATTCATTTCGCAAAAAAAGTTTTGTAAACGTGTCGAAATGGGAATTATATTATGTGATCAACTGGCAAATATGGATATCTTCGATGATTTCAAAAGCGTCGTGCCTTGTGAGCTTATAAATAGAGTCAAATGTGTTTCGTGGATAGAAGTTAATAGTACGAAATATAAACCAAATATGATTATTCGAATGGATAACGGTAACCACAATTTTGGTCAAATACAATTTACTTTAATTGATGATAAACATAATGCATACTTCATATACAAAATTATAAATACGGTACAATTTATCGAACATTATTATGTCTATATGGTTACAGTATCGAATTTTTGGGGTTTTGTACCTCAAACAAAATTAGTTGAATACGCTCCGTTAAGTATTCATCTTTCTGCGGACGGTACAAGTTATGTTCCAAGGATACCTTAGATATTTTTATAAAGTTATTTTTTACTGTTGTGTTTTTCATATATAGCACAGCTATGTTAAAGTATATGTATTAAAGTATATGTATTAGTCTGTATATCTAAATAAATATAGTATATGTGATATCGATATAGTTATATTTTATTAAAGCAATACATTTTTGTATTGCTATCAATTGTATGAAATACAAGATCCGTCAATTTAATTACTCATCTGTAATTACTATCAAATTGAATTAATAATATTTTTACTTCTCTGAAATAACGGTATATTCGTCGGAATAACTTTTTTTGGTGATAGAATAAGATATTGCCTCCAATGGAATGCGTTTTTACTTGCAGTAAACGAATATGAAAATTGATCGCAACAGCGTGGGATTGAGAGCATTGCATCGAGTATATTTCTATTTTAACGAAAAGTAGATAAGATTGGCTCGATTAACTATGCAATCCTCTTAATCCTACGCTATGGCGGTGTTACATCCAGACTCGGGGAAGGATGAGTCGACGGAAGGGCGCAACACCTATCTTTAATTTTCCCGAAATTAAACGTCTCGTGGCGTTTGGAATCGGGTCGAACGAACTAACAGGTCTGAAAAGCAGGTAAACGACTGAGTCGCTGTTACGCTGAGGTCAGTATTCATATTCGTTTAGTGCAAGTAAAGACGCATTCCATTGGAGGCAATATCTTATTCTATCACCCAAAAAAGTTATTCCGATGAATATACCTTTATTTCATAGAAGTAAAAATGTTTTCAATTCAAATTGATGCATAATTCTACCGATCGTCAAAGTTATTTTAATAATTAAATACTTATTATGGGGGAGTACAGTTACAATTCAATTCAGTATTCTTTTAGTCTTGTCAACCAAAGAAATAATTTCGCTAATTGCACCTTTCTTTCATCAGAATGAAAAAGCAATTGATTTCATTGATTATGACGTCCTACCAACTACAAAAATCATTGTGGTAACTGCATATTCATTTTCTGAAAATAAATTCGTAATTGATTTGAGTAAACACGTAATCCTATAAACTATAACTCTTTTCTTGCTAAGTAAATCTGTATTTCAAAGAATTTAAGTTGCAATTAATTCAAATCTAACAGGTAACCTCCAACTGTGTATAGCATACTTTCGATTATGGATTGCGTCTTAGCAATCCGAAAAAATATATGGGGAATAAGATATGATGTTGAACCAATGAATTATGATATTGACATTGCAATAGCAAATATTATTGCAATAAGTATATATTTCGATGGCACCTGATAATGAGATATTTCGTTGGATCAATTCATATTTTTTTTCATCCAATTACTTTTTTTTCTCAGTGTATAATTATTACAAATATAATTATTATATTAATTTAGGATTATTTCTCTAAAAAATTGTTTATTCATGTATTCCAACATAACTGTAAAGTTGATAAATCTGTTAAAAGCAATAAATTATTAGATTTTTTATTGTAAGGCAGATAATATACAATATGCTGCATTTAGATATAACATGTTAAAGCACTGGCTTCACTAATATATTTACTAACTGAATAACAACACAAATGTTTATATAATCTTCTAACACGTCAACAATACGATACCATTATTGCTTCAAGAGACACTGCAAGTTAATGAATGAGTGTTGATCATTCCATTACAGATCACAAGATTCTATTAGCGGAGACTATAATGTTGAACTCTCGCTTAAAAGATTCTCGTGCTTTGTAAATGGATTCCCTCCTGCCATTCGATGCAAGCTGGATCCCTGGTTTGCAAATTAATACCGATCTATTATTTTCACCTGTTTAAAATAAATAATATTCTGAGTCCTTTGTTAGAATTCAGAAATTAAGCTGATAAAAATAGATATTATGGCTCCTGCACACAAGACACAGGACGCGGCAACGCTTGCCGCGTCGCCGCGTTCTGTGTGCAGGAATCATTACACATTTTTAATCTTGTTAACCGCGCTTTGCGATCTTTATATTTGCCTGTAACAGAAACTTGGTTACGAGATAAATACGTCATATAGCGGTAAACGAAAGAACTGTAACTTGACATAGCATATCTTAATATTGCTGTGATTCTACCATTATTTTATTACAGGTCATGCTGTATTTCTGCTGTGTTCTTGCTGTTATCTTTTGAAATGGCAGCGCATGCTTAATTTTTGCAGCATTTCTGCCGTTACGCCGTGCTTGCAGATGAACTCGATTTCTAACGATATTCTACCGATATAGCATAATGTGTTATGTTATGTTCAGTTTTTATTTAGCTTTTGTTGACATATTGTGCCAACACGCAATATTTTAAATCTACTGTTTTTATGCCAAGAACTTCTGCTTAAATTTTGCAGCATTTTTTGTAGCATATAATGATGCAGAGATTGCTTGTTTTCTGTTGCATTTCTGCCGGCACTAATTGAAATGGCAAATCATGCGCGACTGCTGCCAGAGTTCTACCGATACAATATGTAATGCATAATTTGCAATACGTGATCGGGCAAACTTGGCTATCTGGGATGGTATATATCAAGCGACGCGGTAGCGTCGCGACGCCAAGTATATATAAAAATTCGTTCCAGCTTGTCAATGGTTTGCCTATGTACATGGGCTGCGACGCTACCAAGTAGCTTATCCGGGATTTTAGGTCTAGTAAACTTTCGATTAAAATATTTTAATAACTAAAGCCGTAATAAAAAATCTAACGGCACCCTTATGTTATGCGCTATGTTATGCGACAAGTTTTTTTAATTAAAATTTTTTTATATTTTCTTATTTCTATTGAACTTATTTTGAAACTCAGGTTTCTCTTAATAAAAATATAATGCGTTTTAATTTTATGCAGAGAATTTGTGTATTACATTTCTATAAATACAAATTTGATTTTATGACAAATACTATCTCAAATTACAAATTCTCACAAACTGAATTGCTTCTAAGTACTTGGCTAGTTAACTATTCATTTCATGTTTAGTTTTTATTTCTTATTATTTTGGAAAAATATTTTATAAATTATTTTTTAGATATATACTTGGCGTATTAGAATGTTATTGTATTACTTTAATTTTATTAATAATATATAATATAGATATAGATAGATAGATATATGTATATAGATATGGTCTTTATTGACTCCCCTATGAGGTTGCAATTTTTACACTCTACAATTTTACTATTTTCCTATTATCTCTCACACTTTCTTACAGTCCTTTACTCTCATCATCTCTTCTTCTCGACCCTCTTGACACCTCTCCTCTCTACAGCCTTCTCCTGTCTCCCCCTCCCCCACCCTATCTTTCTTTCTCATCCCACTTCCCCTCTTTCCCATCAATCCATAGTCTCCTATTATTTACCACCGCGCACCTTCCTTTTCTCTCTTTCTCTTTGCTCTCTTCTATCCCTCTTCTTCGCTCTTTCCTCCTCTTCTTCTCTCTTCCATTGCCTCCTGTTCTCTCGACACTCTCTTTTCTCCTCCTCTCACTCTCTCCTCTCCTTTTCTCTCTTCCTTCTCTTCTTCTCTCTTCCAAGTCCCACCAGTTTCCTTCCTTACTCCCCGTCCTATCAACTCCTGCCTCCTTTTCTTGCATTTCTTTTCCTCCTCATTTCTTCTCTTTTCTCGGCCTCTATGCTTCCTCTCCTTTTTATCGCTCCCCCCTCCTCACCCCGCTCTCCTCCTCTGCTGTCTTTGTTGCCCTCCTCTGTTCCTCTCTTCTTCCTCTCCCTTTCTCTACCCTTCTTGGTTTCAAATTCTCCCCTTATCCCTCTCACTTCTTCCAGTAGCTCCTTCCCTGTACACTGTCGTCTCTTCCTTCCTTCTCCTTTTCCCTTGATCTCTCCTTCTCTTCTCTCTTCTTCCCCGCCGTGCTCTTTTCCCTCTAACCTCCACGCCACTTCCTCCTCTCCTGCTCTCCCCGCCCGCTTCCAATTCGTCTGACCTTTCTTTCGCCGTTCCTCTCTTCCCCCTCTGACTCCCGTTTCCGTGTCAAACTGCCATGTGCTCGATCCACTTCAATTAACCGCCACCTCACACCATGCTTCCGCCTTTTTCACCTTCCTTGTCCGATCCTTCCTGTCTCTTTTGCTCTTTCACTATCACTTTTCTAATCTCTTAACCCTTTCTTGAGCTGTGCCACACTTCTGTCTGCCTCTTAACCTCTACTTTCTTTCCTCCGCATGTTCGATTCTTCCGCTCCCCCTATCTTGCCTCCTACGTTTTCCTCCGCCGTTCCTTCTCCTCTCTTTATGGTAACGATCTGTATTATCCACTCTTTCATCTTCCTTATCGGTACTCTCTGTCCGTTAATTCTCTCAATTTTCTCACCGTCACTTACCACGTGTTCTTCTTCTTCCTTTTCCTCTCTCACTCTCTCTCTCTCTCTCTTCTTCTTCTTCCTAACATCCAATTCCTTTCTCCTTTCCTTCCTTCCCTTTTGGCCTCTCCTCGCCTCTTCCTTCCCTTATTCCTCCTTGTTCCTCTTCTTTTGCCCTTCTCACTCATCCTCCACTGCTCCTTCCTCTCTTCCTTCACTCTTTTTCCTTTTCCCTTGTTTACGAGCACACTTTCCCT